GATCACTGTATAACAGTCAAGTCCTATCGCTAAAAATCGACGCGTTTTGCGTCTTACGAATACATCGGCAAACGTAATTACATTTCGCTCTTTTTTTTTCGATCTGTTTTACGCGATAAAACAACTCTGTATAATCCTTCATTCATCGATGACCACGATATTATACAGATCAGCTATTGTCCCCAATATTGTACGTGCGTTCCAGTTTGGACTAGTTTTAGTCGTTAACGAGACGACGTGTATTCACGATCTCGATCCGCGACTTATTTTTTCGATTCTTTGATTCTCTCGAGGTGCTAACATACACACACACGCATTCGCACACGACACACGTACACACAGACTTGTAATGGCTCCTGGTTTCGTACTAAACGTAACTCTCGTCATCGACGACGGATCTTCCGTATCCTAGGTGTCTGGTGGTAACCGAAGCACGAGGTTGAGGAGGTGGACGATAAGGAGGCGGCGGTGGTAAAGACCTTGACCTGCCAGCCACTTTGTGTCTGTCTTCCAGATTCATGTGTACCGGTGGCAGATGCCTCAATCTCGGTGGTAGTGGTGGTGGTGTATCCGGCCACGTTCTCTCCTCTTCGTCGTCCTCGTCGCCGTACAAATCGATGGCCTCGGCCTGTTTGAACGAATACAAATCGTTCCTCTCTCTCGAGCCGTATATCTCGCCCGTTCTGTCCCTGTTCCCGTAGATGCTGCTCTCCGATTCGTATCTCTCCGTACGGGTCGTCTCTTTGTTCACGTATATCTCGCTTTTCACCTTCTTGAACTCGTACAAATCGCTTCCCGAATGGTAGCTACCGTTCTGCGAGACGGGTGACTCGCGATTAACATACATTTCCGACTTGACCTTCTTGAACTCGTTAAATCGCTCCTTCTTGAATTCGTATCTGTCGCTGGACAGCGTCGTGTCTCCCGTCAGATCCTGCTCCGAATTGTGAATGGAGACTCGTTCCGTGCAGATGGTGTCCTGCTGTGTGGCTCTTTCGTATTCCGACCGAAGGTCCCGCGTTATGTCCAGCTGCGAGTTCCTGCTGTATATATCTTTGCAATTTTCTACGTTCTCCTTCATGGAGTCTTGTCTGAGATAGTCCCTGCCGTAGATATCCTTCTCGTCGAACCTGTCTTTACGGTGATCGTGTTCATCCAGCTTCGTCCTTGGCGTTCTCTTCAGCTGAGCCCTCAGCCAGTCTTGCCTCTGGAAATTTGGATTCGGATAACCGACGCTGTTCTTCTCCTCCCTGAAATTATGCTCCACGGTGCTCGTGTGATGATTGTTTGCTGCGTAACCGTTTATTCGTTCCTCCCATCCACCGTAGACGCGAATGTACGACTTGCTGGTAGACTTGTCCTCCTTGGCGAGAGACTTGTCGAAACTGGACGACGAGGCATTCACGGCGGAATCCTCGGAGCCCACTGGAGACTCTGGTATGAACAGCTGACAATCCGACAGGGTCAAACCGGAGTCTCTCGAAAGTGACATGTGGTCCTTGCGCGGTGGTTCCGTCAGGTCCAGGCTATCCAGAGAAAGCCCACCTGCTGCAACGAGAGAAATTCCTCAGTGGACTAGCGAAGCAGTTAGACAAACTGAATGTCGAAGAACCAAGCGCGCATTCCACTTTGATTCTCATGGGATGGAAAAAAAAAGGAGACAAAGAAGAAAGAAAAGGAAGAAAGATACTCACAGTGAAGGCTATCGGTGCTCTCCTCGGCTCCACTGTCGCTACGCTCTTCCCCAAGAAGCTGCGTGACGCCCTCCCCAAACAGGACTTCACAATGACGAATCAGCATCTCCGTCAACGTAGGAATCGCCCTGCTCTGATTCACTGACGGATTTGGCGACCAGAGTAAACTTGGCCCGCAACACACGCCCAGATTACTGGCGCACATGAGATTGTGCTTTGACCGCCGTGCCACATGGTGCAGAACGCAAATCAGATGCGACAGCAGCGTGTAATTCGCTTTCGGTAATCTATCTAAAATACTGAAACCAAGGTTGTTCGTTAAACATCACGGAGACACAAAGGGAACTTCACGTTGTAACAGAACCGTCTATTTCTTCGCTTACTTTTTAATCGTTTGAACAGGATTCGGTGTGTCCAAGCTGTCCATCCAGAGAGGAAATAGATGGGAAGTTAGCAAAGGATCCGGTAAAGATCTGAGGAAATCTTTGAGCAGTGCGGCCACGGCTATGATCGGAGCATCCTCCAAGCAGCTAGGATCGCCGGTAGATTCGATTTGATCACGTAGCTCGCGAACGATTCGAACGTTGGCCGATTTCCTGAAGATCCCTTGCGTGAATGGTCCCTTGGCGAACAATTGTTGAAGCATCACTAACACAGGCTTGGGTAATCCATTCTCATCGAGCCTGGACAAATTAACTCCGAACAAACTCGGGTTCAACGAAAGGGATCTCCTTAGTAACCCGGTGATCTTCGATTTGTTCTTCTTCACCGGCGACTTTGGTACCGGCCGGAGTATAAAGTGGCACGTGTCGTGTCCACTTTTATTGCAGTGCTCCAGATCGAAACCTTCTTCCGCGGACAGCGTGTGTCTCAGATTCGACAGTTTGACGGCGAAAGGCCTCTCGTGTCCTATGAGTGGGTAGGGCGCCTCGTCGGCGGACGTTCTGGCCCACAATTGGAAAGGCCCTTGAAGGTCCAGGAGGCGTGTAGCCAAGTTCACGCAGGCCGCCGCTGTCATCTCGGATCCCACCATAATCGTCTTACACTACAAACACGGAGGATGCGGATGTAGCGCGAGCAACATGAGTAACAGGATCGCTCGGTTAGAATGATAATCGCGCGCAATAGACAGACGTAAAGAGAATACGCGTCGGTGGATTATAGTTATTAGAGGTACGCGTTTACGCGTTGACCGCAGCTTCCGGCAAACGTTGAAGCCCCTCTCGCCTGCTCTCTAATAGAGGCGTCGAGCGGCGCGCGTATTTAAATGCGACGCGCCGGTCGATAATGAACGCCGACGCGGAGAGGAGCGGGCACGTCGTACAAAGGCCGACAGATAGACGGTGTCCCTTTATAGTTTAGAACCGATCCAATCCGGCGTCGTTGACGTCAGTGATATAAAAGGGACATCTGAAAGAAGAATGCCTTCAGGAAGGTCAAGCGATCGAAACGACGGTTTTCTTCTCTTGGCTTCGATGTGCGAAGAATGGACCGTGAAGGCGTGACCGCGTCTATGCCTCTCTCTCTAGTACGAACCGTTGAATACGTGTACGCGGCTGTATATTGCGCGCAACGACGGAGAAGAGTATGCAGCACTTACGTATTCCGTGTTCGTGTCACTGTCGTGATACACGACTTGAATGTTCGTGTCCGGCGGCTCTTTCATACTCTCCTCTCGTACAAGTTCGGTCAAACGTCCCCACCAAAGGTCCCTCGCTGCAGCAGTCCTAAAAAGAAAAGAACAAACCGCTGGTGTGATGGGTCGCGATAAAGCCGACACCTCGACGGTTAATCGAACGATATATCTCTTTCCCTCGTGCCACCCTCGGCTGCTTTCTCGTTTGCGAGTTTATTGCGCAGGTAAAAGAATTCTTGCGCCGCGAACGATCGCGGCGTCATTACGACTCCGTCTCGTCGCAGAGTACGTGAGAGAGAAACGTGGAGAAAAGGACATGCGGTAATACGAGCGAACGAGATGCCGAGACGGCGTAGATGAAAAGTTTGTGAAGCATCGGCGGTCACCGTACATGAAAGTTGCAACGACGTTCGTAGTTGGCCAGCCAAGGACGAAGCTCGTCTCTTGCGACTTGCTCGTTTCGGCCACGTCCTCTATGTGGCCGGCAGTTAGCCATAGCTCGCTCATTCTTACGGATTGTTTCAGCTTAAAGTTACCCCCGCTTCGCGCTTTTGCTATGAGCAACAGATCGGAGAAAAGGAAAAGATGTCTGTCCTGGGACTGCACGCCCTGTAGATAGAGAAAAAAGAAATTATATTCTCGTAAGTATGGGTGAAATATCTAACTTGTCAATGTTTCTCGGATCGCTCACCGTGGTGAATTGCACCGGTGTCTCCAAGAGGAAGGTCCTCGGCGGTGATTTCGGGGCCGGTGAGTTGTTGGACACATTTAAAGATTTCTGCGACAACACTCTCGTCAGCCTTCCAGGATTGCCGCTGTTCCTCTTGCGAATCAGACTCTTCATTTTCTGAAACGAAACAGACCGCGTTGCCGCCGTAATGAAACCAGTCGCAAACGTCATATTCCACAGAGAGCAGCAGAGCAAAATTCCCTCCGGCTATTTAACCACGACGTTACCAATTAACTTGTCACCTGCTTCGCGCGGCAACCGGCGACTATATTACACATATTCGTTGCACGGAATCAGGCGGGGAATCGATATTGGAAACGAAGGATATCGACGAGGGGTATCGGGCATCCTTGACAAGGGATTAGCATTAAATTATCGGTTGGGAAGCGAGGCGCTCTATCCAGTTACCGCGTTAAAGGGTTGCAAAGTAATGACTAATTTTGATGCTCGGATCTAGGACATAAATTATTATCATCCTCGCAGCAGGCGGCTAATAACCGGACGCCAACGTGCCAAGCCGCATTAACTTTCGGATGACTTAACAGCATTATTTCACCGGCTCTCTATCCACCGACAGTGAAACATCGTCTCTTCAGCGAGAAACCCGTTCAGAATGTTCGCCATGGAGGCCAGGTTCGCGTACGCAACGAAATCGCTGGAAAACACGGATACTGGTACGCGGCGAGGACTATTGCGTGCCGAAGTCGTTTAGTAGCAAAATCAAACCGAGGCTCTACCACGTATATGTACAACGATGCGTCAAGAGAGATTCCGCTGCTTTCCTCGTCACTTCCATTTTCGAGAACGTCGAGACACCGGGAGACGGATGAACAGTTACAAATAACTCCACCAAATATAGCGAGAAGACACACGAAACACGAAATTACAAACAACCGCGGGACAGGCTGGTTAACATACTTCACTTTGACGATGAGATTCGAATCCACGTGTTCCTCGTCGTTTCTATTCCTCCTACTATCGTAATTTCCAGTCGTTTCGAACTGCGTGCATTCCGTTACTGCTATAGTGCTCGTTGCGTTCCATCGAATTACCTTATGTTAATAAATGTGGAAATCAAGGTAACGTACCGCGATGACTACCGATGATTCCACGTGATTCGTGGAAACGCGTTTTATCATCGTTCTTCTCTCGAGTGCGTTCTCGGAGCAACAACGTTGAGAAACGCGAATACGCGCTCACCTATGCGACTAGCGGACGCGTGATGTCTGCTCTTGACAATACTCTCTTACGCCCAGTATGCAGATTAGGCCGCGGTACACGTGGGACGATGACACGCCGCGGCAAACAGCGTTGTCATTCGTAGACGCGAATGAAAATCTGTATCAGCAGTTCGTGTGTGTGTGTGTGTGTGTATGTGTGTGTTTTAATCATTGCGCAGAATCGAGTCGGGAACGAAAAAGGAAGGAAGAAGGAGGCAGAAGTTGAATCTAAGATTGGTAATCTAAACGATCTCGGTAGTTAAAGACTCGAACTTTGGATCATCTCCAAACGATTTTATGATTTACGAGATCAATCAAACTGTGCGAATTGTTTATACAATTTTGAAGGTAACTTGGAAAAGTGAAATCTGGAATCTTAGAAAATTATTTCATCTACTAAGTATTGTATCTTAAATATTATATATATTTGCATCGTATGCATTTCTGCATATTCTAAGTTTTCCAAACAAAGTGTGCGAAATCCGCAGTTTATTAGTCAATTTTCCAAAGGGAAAAGGACGATTCGAGAAATGACGCATAAGATAGTTATTGGCTTTATAAATTCAAATAAAAAACACTTCACACTGACGATTGGATATTCATTGAAATACGAATTATAATTTCGAACGTGTTAAAGAATGGAGATTTTAGATGACGAATACTATTTATTCGTTGGTTTTATAAGTTACTTCTACGTCCGAGTTGAAAAATGCAACGTGTTTCCTACTTAATCCCGCGACGCTGGTTTTTCTTTTTTGTGATACGTCATCCATCACGCGTGCAAATGACATAGAAGATTTTGTCATGGTGGAGTGCCCTGTGAGACGCGTGGGAAACGTCACGAGTGGCGAACGGCTGAGTGTTTTTCACGAGTGCTAGGAAAAATACCGTCAAGTGCTCGTGAGAATCGTGCAACCTCTTGATCTTTGTCCGTAATTGATACGTTTTTCAAACAGTTAGATTTATTCTGCATTTATGAAAAATTAAAAAAAAAATATATATATATATAAAGAAAAACTATGTAGAATGAAAAAATTATAAAATATTCAAACTCTTATTATGTATCTACATTTAGTAAAAGGAATAAATCTTCTCTGCTTAGGTTTTGAGATAAAAATTGATAAAAATTCAAATTTGCATAAGAATTCGCAGTCTAATGACACACAATTGCAATGACAAATAAAAACGTTTTATGCACGAATGCATATAGTGTAAAGAAATAAGTAAGTAAATACCGTGGTGAGGACATCTCGCTCGTGTAGCCGGAGATTGTCACCAGGGAAGAGTTCCTGAATACGGTGAAGATCACCCTCGAGCTGTCCACGTTGAAGAACAGCGCCACTCCCGACGCTTCCGTTTCCGTTCTCCACTAGATTTCTCGCCTCTTGGCCCAGATACCTCTCGTATTCGGCCAACCTCTGGACCTGCAACGTTTAGAAAGCATTTTCTCGTTAGATTTTCACACAGAACAATTCTTCTTTGAATTCTAGATGTTATCAAAAATTTTACAACTCTGTTTACATTTTATTTTATGACTCTAGAGAGTCATCTGTTTTGGATTATTGGACACTATGATCCTAAAATATTCAATAAAAGTGTACTCTTAATAGTAGAAAATTCAGAAATTCCAGTAGAACTAAAAAATATGAAACATCTAAAAGATTGATGTTTTCGTACAGGTAAGAATCAAACTCGTACGATCGTCTAACGATGCAAGATTGCGAAAGCAGAAAACGGAAACAGCATTGAGGAACAGGGAGCGTGCTCGACGCGCAAAATTACCTACCGATACTTCGCCGGTGAGTCGTAACGCGAGCAGAGTGTTGGCACGACAAAAGATCGGCGCGGACTTTTCAATTGGAACGGCCCGGATAATTGTCGTCCGCGATACATCGAGGCGAGTTATGTAAATTCGCGGCGACTCACCGTTCAATCACGTCGTGCCGTTTCGTTCGAGCAGAGCTCTCTCGACTCCCGCGGCCATGCGATCGGTTGATTCATTGCTTAATTGTTACGAGGCACGAGTTGTTCGCATCAGCCGTTCGAATTTCCGCTCCTGTTTACAATAACCATCGGCCGAGGTTCTAAACTCGTGCCAATTCGTCGGACGATTATAAAACTGACAATTTCATTTTCGTATATCGCGTGTATATCTTCCTCTCGAAAGTCTCTTCAGATCTCATCTTTATATTTAGTGGAACAACGTTCGAAGATGTAAATGTCAAATTGCATCATTTAGTAAGTTCATTTTTCGTGTCAACAAGTATCAAGACGAATTATGTTTCTTTATGTATTTTAATTGCAATGTTACGCGACATTTGTCGGAATTTTGAAGAAAATATTGCGTTTGCAAAAATAATAACAATAATTAGTTATTACGTATCACGAAAGAACATATGTGCATAGAAAAAAAAAAATCGACATTATATATACGCTCGATCAATTCTATTTGGATCTTGAGAATCATGATAACATGTATTGATGGGAAAAATATTTATATCAAAGATTCTAAAAGATATTCCAAAAGAAATGGAAAATTGATTATACCACTAAAACAAATATCTATTTAAAATAAAAGTGAAGGATGTATTGATGATAACACATCAGTGTAATCATGTTGTTCATTCCTTTTTTGTATTATTACAGAAAATCAGAAACTTCTTTTCATTTCTTTTCATTATATACTTGTAGATTATATGTTGTATTTATTGTAGCATTTACACGCTAATCAATTAAACCCTCTAAGCTATATTAAATTTCGCATCATTCACTTTTATGAAACTACAGAAATTGTCACGAGGCTGCAGGAATTGATATTGTGGAAACAAAGTGTACAAACTACAATAGATGTACGAACAGCTGATATTAAAGCTTTTCTTACGTCTTTCAATGGCCGAGTAAATAAATAACTATTCTAAACTGGTCGAACGGGGGTGTAGACATGAGGCATCGACAGAAATATCACTGTGAATTGCTACTCTCCCCAACTAGTCAAGGGTAAGTACGCCGACGTCTTTGCATTGCTCCGGTTTATTATCCGCACCCACACGGTGCTACGAAATTTTCAATTAAAATACGACCACCGCGGTGCGGTACCACCCACACAGAACCGGCTTTCGTAACGAAAGCGTATGTATCACTTTTACGTAGATCGCTACGACGATCGAGCGAGGAATCGGATTTGGTATCGACGTACAAACGAGGTCTACTCAAAGCCGGTCAAATCGCTGTTAATCCCACCAGAAGGCAAAGGGATTTAAGATCAGTCGGTAACGAGCTCAAATTTTCACTACGCTGCCGATCATTCGATGATCGATCGTCAAGGATTGGGCAATCACTCCGATGTTTATCATAAGCCAACACTTGTAATGTATGGTAGCCTCCGCAGTACGACGAGATCGTGAAATCGGTCAAGTTTACGTCACGATTTCAACGAACTATTGTTGCTGGTATTAAAAAAAAAAACTGTTTCCGGAATTATATGGGAATTATTTAACGTTCTAAAATTCCATCTCGATTACAATATTCAACTGACGTTGAAAGGAGCTTTTATCAACATTTTATAATGGAGTTTTATATACGTGAAAGTAGTTGGAATCTTCGTAAAACGTTCACAGTAACGAACTAGATGATTTTGGAGAAAGTAATAGCTGATCACAGAATGAATTCTATCCAAAGTAGTGAATTATGCACTTAATTGTAGTATACAGCATCTTGAAAAACACTTGTAGATCGATTAGCCATTTTTCTTCCCCGAATCTTGGCGAAAGGCTAATATCATAAGAACGATAGTGAAGTTAAAGTACTCGATTAATGTAATTAAATTTTCTCGTTAATTCTTATACATTAATTTTTACATATAAAATACATAAATAAAACAAAATTGCAACTGGCTACTAGCTTTACGATAGTTCTGCACCTAACTTGATTATTTCTTAATACGGTATTATCCACAAATACCTTAGATAATATCCCAGATAACGGATTCTGATCTGTAGATGCTGTATCACTCGATTCGTTTGAAACGTCGCCGCGTCGCGACGAACTACCATACCAATCTCAAACTCGCAATCACACAATCACACACTTCTTCGTATGTATTTAATCTTTACTATTCTATCCATTCAAAATCGCACGGCAAATTCTTCTCGCCGTTTGGTATACGTACGTTCGACGAGTCGGACGCGTAACCCTCGTCCATGAACACGTCCACGTACTTAATGAACATCTCGATCCGCGAGCACGTCGATCGCGAAATACGAACGTTTGTGACGACGAGACGCCACGAGAGGAAATGTACGCAGACGGTGGTGAACGTCGTCGGGAGGAAAGGCGTGACGAGGACCGGTTACTCGCGTTCGAGCTGCCAACAAGCGACTACTATGAAAAACTGCCGAGCGAGATTTCACGCGCAGCACACGTCGCTTCGTGATACATCTTTCGCGTGCAATGAATCATCGAGCCACCGGAAGTAACCTCTCCGACCTCCTGAGCGGAGGCTGGTAGCTCGTGTCTCACTGTTTCTCTCACCTATCCGTTTCCCTGCGCGCGACGAGACTCGGCTAGAACGCGTGACCAAATACGCTGTTTCGCGATCACGTTTTTTATCGAGATGGAAAGTTTCCGTGAGTGGACCTAACCGTAGAGGACGATTGGGTGCTCCGCGTCATGAGAGAGAGAGAGAGAGAGAGAGAGAGAGAGATTCCTTTAATGGAAGTCCCTCGCTTTCATCTGTTAATCGAATCATCTGCAGAGAAATATTTCTGAATTTCGTTTCTATAAATTTAATATAAATTTCTAGTGGAAATTTAAGGAGACTTAACTCGTGTTAAATTTATTTTAAACAAATTTCTGAGTAATAGCAATGTTCACGCATTAACCACGTGATTAATCGCGCGACATCATTCATTGCAATGCTTTCTTCTTCTTGCTTGAGCCACTGTCGAGAGAATATCACAATTGTATAAAGAACACTTTATCAAAAATCATTTTCTTCATCAATTCATTTTCATACAAAGTCATATTTCTGAAAATTAGAAAATGGAATCTCAGTGAAAGATAAAAGATATTATAGAAAGCAGTATTCTTTCGATATTTTATACATCTTACTCAATGATTTTTACCTTACTGAATGAAATCTTTACGAAATTATACAATCATCAAATCTTTCTCTCAAACAGGATTTCTCAACAGAGAACGAAATCTCGCTGAGGGGACAAATTTTCTATAAACCTATAAATAGAAACCTATAAAACAAAAAATTCTACAAGTGAAAATTCTATAAATGCTAAAAAAAAAAAAAATGCATAACAAATTTTCCTACAGTCGATCGAACATTTCTCCGCAACGTTGCAGCTAGCGACGATCAAAGGAAAAATTCCATAACCACAAGTGCTACAAGTTATGTGAATATTTTCTCTTCTAACGTTTTAAAAATCCGTTCTTCTCAGGACTGGAATACCATCTATAATCAACGCTATAACGGAATCCATTCTAATCATCGTTCGTTTCCCTCATCCTCGTTTCGCCGACGCCAGATTCGCGATAATTGCCGTGCGTTTCGGCGTGCTTTGCACGGTAGTCGGGAAATTTCTCTTTCACCGTGTAATTTTCACAGTTTTGTCGCTATTGGCATTCTTCGATGGGTATCGTCGACCGTGAGCCCACGTCCCTTTCCCCACCTCTTTTCTTCGCTCGTTTTCTTTCGTTCCGTTTCCCATCGTCATTGTTCCAACGACACGTACTTTTACGCGGCATTCTTATCCCGGCACCGTTTCCGAGCCCGTTTTCGCACACTTTCACCTCGCGCCACGTCGATTATACTCTTAGGAATAGCTGGAACGCGGCGTTGTACGCTCGATCGACGCTCGATAATCGTTATCGAGTCACGATTTGGCCCACGTTTCACCGAACTCGCTCATATTTTCTTCTATTTCCTCCGCTCTCTCTCTCTCTTTCTCTCGTACTTGATATTCCTTGTTCTGTCGAAACGACTCGCCGTCTTGCTAGAAACAATGTCGAAACTCGGATCGATACGACGCACAAGTCATCGAACACGTGACACACTCCAGTTCCCAGAGACATTTTTCTCACAGGTTGTGTTACCTGTGTCGTTAAAACAGCCTAATTGAATTTTTTTTTTCGACGTTCTGCGGCAACGACTAACGCACTGCAACGAAGAAAAAAAAAAGAACGCGCGGAAACGTGGTATCCTGCGGCACACATGTACCAATATCAGCAGCTTTCACGGTGAAACATTTTACACACCGGTCTTTCCTTTTTTTAATACTAATCCTCACACATCCGAGAATCCTTCGCGTCTCCTGAATAAAAAAGAGAGGAAATAGCCCGAAATCCTCGACGTCACGGTTCGTACGATTCGTTTCGGGAGGAGGGCACAAAGGGTTCCGCCCCCAATCGCGCCTCGAGATCAGCGAAATA